CCCCTAGTGCAAGATAAATTCATAAGTTCACTTAAATGAAGCAACCATTGGCCGGAAACATTGACAATATCGCGAAGAAATGCTGTAAGCAAAGTGTTTCATTATTTAATTAAAATTGGACTACTGTAATTTTAACTTGGTGATATTAAACTTAAACTTTAGGATTTAAAGTTAGACAAACGCTATTTTGTGAAACAGTTTTAGCTATGGGAAGGGGGGGGGGAGGAGGGGGCGTGGGTCCAGAAGAGAAAAAGGTCTCCCCCTTCGTTGATCGTCTATTTTGAATACCAAAATTTATAAGCCCTTGGTGCGCATTCGATAAACGTATAAATTTTAATCAGTTATTTAGTTATTGGGCTAAAATATTAGCCCACTGGGATTCATTTACAAATTATCTATACCTCTTTTTCGTGCCTTGCAGTGCATAGGTTTCAATGGTTGACATTTAAAAATTATAACTCCTACAAAAATACATGTATGAGTGGCAAATGAATGATCAAAAAACAAATGCCTTAAGTGCAACTGACCAGTTTATTTCTTATTCATACTTTTAATTTTTCATAATATCAATACGAAACAACGCACCATTTAACACAAATATAAACTCAATTTCAACAAACATGTCATTTTAACTGAATAAATAATAAATTAACTGAAATCATTTAATTTTAAAGTTGAAAGACCAGTTCTTCCTTTAACAATCAAATGTTTAGCAACCAAGTATGTCCGCTCTCAGTGAAATATGATGGTGCCACTTCATTGGAAGGATGCGTACAAACCGTGCTTGGATGCGAGGCACAAGGTCTTGCCTAACGATGGTATCGTGGTCCGAGTTGCCAGAAAATAGCTGTAAAATAATGGGCATTATTATGCCATTGGTATAGTTTATAATTTTGTATGCGTGAGTCCGAGTTATGCAAAAAAAAAGTCTTATTTTGACCTATGCCATTATAACCATTCAAAATATTTCACCGATGATATCGTCGACGATTTTCACCAATCCAGAGAAAAGGAAATATTTTATCATTCAGTCGACAAACAATAATGCTTTCGCTCAGTAACTCTAAATAAAACATTAGAGAATACCTTTTAACTTTGATAGTCTTTTTGAAGAACATTTTAGTGCATTTAATAGCACCGAAAAATTAATGTTTCTCAATGACCAGAAACAATTTAAGACAGAAAAAAGTACACGCAATGATGTGGAGAGGTAAATTTAATACAGATGAGAGGGATTGAAAATTTTTATGTAAAATATCCTTTTTTTAATGTGTTTAAATGAACAGAAATTTACCTTAAGAATTTTTTATGAATTTTAATTGTACTTTCACAGGTTTAACTCTCTCACAGCCCTAAGTAAGGTGGGTTTTATTTTTAAACGTGAGACACTAATAAAATTGTTATTAGTATTGTTATTATTATATGAAGATTTTTAGCCTAAAAAGAAACTGAATTTCACAACGAAATCTACACTATGTGTTAAATTAATTTTTAATTGTCAAACCACGCATTACGTCTAGATGTTTTGTCCTATTGCCTACAGTTCAATAAAAAAACAACCGCATTTCAGGAACGCTTACCTTATCTTTACCGTCCTGGTCTTGATAGGTAGTCCATTTAGAGCCAGAACTGCTGTACTGCAACTTGTATTCAGTTACCCATTGGTTGTGAATGTCACGCCCTCTGGTCAAGACGGCGGTAATAACCCTAGAGGTGCCCAGGTCAAATTGAAGCCATTGGTTCTTGTTACTAGTTGCCGCTGCCCATGCTGCGGTATGCCCAGTATGGTTCAGCTTGGCTCCGTATGGGGAAAAACCACTGTAAGAACTGGACGCAGTTATGGCTTTCTTTGGAAGAGGGTCTCTTCCGAACACGAGACGACGGTTGCACTCTGCAATTGAAAATTGTTTTATTATATTAGAATAGTGGTTAATGTATGTTGAGTCGCTATTGAGTAAAGAAATGCATATCTTATAAAATCACAGTTTGAAAGGAGATGAGTACGTTCGCGCTCAGTGCCTCCAAAACTGTTAATATAGGATTTTACAAGAAAACCTAAAAGCTAGCTTTACAAATGGATATGAACAAGGCATGTAAACAAGGAAATGTTAAAGAAACGACTTGTGCCCTTTGGCTTCCCCCTCCTTTGATCCACATCTGAAAAGAAAAAAGAAAACATTCTTGATCTTGCACATTAAAACTTACTTGTTAGAAGACAGCTGTTGTACAAACCAAGCAGCTCATAGAACGTATCAACTGCCACTTTTAACAGGAAATCGCGGCTGAAGCTTATCTTGGGCGTTTCCCGTTTGTTAAAATGCAGGTTTGACTCCAGCGTCGCCAGAACGTCCGGGCACCTCTCTCCAATACCTTTCAATAGGGCCCTGTTCAGGATACGAACTTCATGGAGTTTTGCAATAGCTGCTGATTGGCGGCTGTGGTCGCTTGCATTGTTATCATCGACTGTCGAACAAGCGACGTGTACAAAGAAAGTGAGAAAAAACCAAAGCGGAAAACAAAACACCACTTTTGTGACTCTTTCCATGGTTTAGCTGTGAAGTATTTTGCTGTTACAGCGGAACTCACGACGTGCACACTGACAGAGGCCTTATGTAGTCACGAATAAACGCTCGCTGAATGTTTATTAATAGGACAGTCAGAGAGAAAGAAATGCGTGGTAAAAAGATGAAAAAAGAGATAACTGCACGGTAAACTAAAACCGAAGTATTGGTAGTATGTTTTTATCTTAATGACAATCTGCTTCAGGTTACTTGGATGAAGTTTTCAAGGAAAGATAACACGACTTGGTGTAACTTTAGAACCTTAAGTTATAATTCAGCGCGCGTTAGCAATATAAAGTACCGTGTTGTAATGGCCATCCGGCAGTATCCAATTTTAATTTGAAAGGAAAGAATGATTAAAAGAGAAAGATTGGTTAACCACATGCCCTTCATACATCCTTTATGAAAACACATGGTGTAGATACAGTTGTCAAATGTGACAATGTTCATTTAGAGTTTGATAAAATATTATTATTATTATTAACAAGGAATGCTCATAAAATGTCTGATTATACCACTGGCAGAGTTGGGACTTTGTTAAAGGGGGAGCTGCACAAGAGTAAAATACATGATATCAGAATTTGAAAATATGCAATAAAAATGATCGACACAGACAAGTTTACAATATCATGCAGCGCACCGGGGTAAAAATGTCGGTTTTTATTTTATTTTATTTTATTTTCGCTAAAGGGGGAGTGCGAGCATTTCAGAAGTCAAGGGTGGGGGCATCACTAGACCGCTGTGATTTTACTCGTGTTTAGTAGCCAATTTGTGCCCTATTCGGGGGATGGAAGAAATTGAATATAGGACAGAAATGTCGACAGAATAATGAAATTTAAGTAAAGGATGACTAGCTAAAACTAAGCTATTGGTAGTGTATTTACTTGTCGATAGTAATTTGAGTCAGGTTTCTTGTGTGTAGTTTCCAGGTAAGGATTCAATGAGCTGGTGTAACATGACAGTCTACTTCAACAATCTGAATTCACCGTGTGTGCATTCAAAAATATCATGCATTTGATTCTCAATTTGCAGAAGAGAAAATTAGAAGAAAAATATAAAGGGAAGATATATTAATTGTACACTC